ACTAGTGATAACTACTGCGATCGTCTTCCCTTTTGCCGAGGATCACCATGAAAGAGAAAGCCAGTATTTATAAACACCTTTAGAAGTGTGAACACACAGCCTAATGGTTCTGTTTGAAGTGCTTTGGAAACATGCTCTCTGATGGGTCGCGGGCCTCACTCTTTAGCAATATAAGGGAAGCTTAACAAAGCAACATGAAAAACTAAACCAAGGCTGTTTAAAATTACATTCCAATCAAAAACTAAAGCACCTGAAGAATCCACTGTGTCACTGCGGTGTCGGAGAATTTGGCCAAGTAATCTGTCCAGGCCTCTTGGTTTGGAACGTTGGATGGAGTGATGGAAAGAGGAAAGAGTTGAGGATTCGGAAAACCTGGATTTGAGAATGAGTTCATCCCCTATCTTGTCTGCTGCTTCACCTCTTGGCCCCCCTCGGCCGCTTGCTTCCTCCATCTCTGAAACAGGATTAGGTAATGACCTTCCCAGCCCCTAGGGCTGTTCTGCTGATCCCATGAGGTGGCGAGAGGCGTGGGAGCGCTTGATAACTCCGGAAGGCAAGATACAAATGCTTGTTGTCTTTTTCCATTAAGGGCTACTTCCGAAAAAAATGAGAGACAAAACAAAATAAACTGAAAAATTCTCCAGGCAATTTAGAACAGTATCAAAAAGAGTAAAGCAAAAGACAAAACAAAGTCCTCTATGGACGTGTTCTTTCTCGATTTGCAATGCTCCCAGCCGACACCAGTGCTATCTACGGGTCATGGTGATAAGAGGGACGGTACTGACCAGTGCCCTTCCCCCAAGATCCGGTTTACCCCCAGCGCCGTGTCATGCCGTGTTGCCTTGAGCAAGTTCATCCTCTGCTGTTGAAGTGTTTCCTTCCCCAACACCCCTATTTTCGAAACAGGCAGCAGCTACGGTTCCTTCGCAAAGATACGTTTCCAGTTCCAATTCTTAAGATAAGCTGCCAGTCTTCTTTGGCTCTCACACCTCACTTTGGTCTTAAGTCCCAATGACAGCAGGCTCAACCCTCTCCTGCTGCCCTGTGAATTTAAATGCTAATGTTCTATTTTGTACTTGTTGAGTGGAAAAGACCCTGAGAGGCCCGCCAACCCATCATTTGACAAATGAGGAAACCGAGACCCAGGAAAGGAGCAGACCCACAAGGCAATGTCACAACATCTCACGGAGTGGAGCTCCTCTTTCCATAAATACTTTCCCTGGGTTATTCCTGCGTCACACGCGTGCTCCAGACTCACAGATCCAGCTGCCTGCTCCCCGGCTCCAGATGGTGAAGTTTCTGCAACTTCACTTGTCCAACCAGAACTCCCGATTCTACCCACCCACTCAGACTCGTTCCTCCCCCAGTCTACCCAGTCCCAGTTAATTGCCCAGTTCCCCGGGGCCAAACACCTGGGAGTCCTACTGATTTCTTTCTTTTTCTTGCTTCCTCCATCCAGTTTACCGGCGAGTCCCATGGCTCGACCCTCAAAATACATGCAGAATTTGTCTACTTCTTACCCCTTCGATGACTCCACCAAGCCACCATCACCTCTCACTTGGGGTTCTGCAATGGCCACCTGACTAGATTCCACACGCATGCTCCTTGAATCTTTTCTCCACACAGTGAAGCTTTAAAGCCACAAAGCAGATCACATCATTCCCCTCCTCAAAGAGCTCCAATGGCTGCTCATCTCATAATAAAAGCCAAACTCCCTGCCATACTCTAGAAGATCCTCCATAGAGGACCTTGCCTACTTCTTGGATCTCATCTGCTATCACTCTCTCCTTAAACTCTCTCTGTTCTAGGCACAAGGGCCTTCCTGCTTTCCTGGAACACACAAGCTCATTTCTGCCCCAGGACACTTGCACATGCTTTTGCTCTCCTGACACCCTCTTCACCCACATGTTGGCATGGATTGTTGTCCCACCACCCAACTTTCTGATTGAACCGACCTTTACCAACTCTCTCAAAAAGAGTATACCCTACCAGTCTTTCCAATCTTTTAGCCTGCTTTATTTTCCTTTATTGCACCACCTCCCCATGAAATCATATTATATATTTGTTCATGTGCTTGTTTATTATGTGACTTACTCCCTGGTACTTAAGCCCCCTGAACATAGGACCTTAGTCTCTCTTGGTCTTTTCTTTATCCAGGGTGCCTAAAACAAGATCTATCATGTATCAGTCACATATCACAGTGCCTACCACAATATTTGTTGAATGAATGAATGAATAAAAAACTAGCATATAAAATTTGGGACAATCCAAAACTTTTTGAGAAACAATGTGTAGAATTCACACACCACAAGCATGCATGTCACTTCTTAGCACGTGGTTCTTTTTTTTTTTTTTTTAAGATTTTATTTATTTATTTGACAGAGAGAGACATAGCGAGAGCAGGAACACAAGCAGGGGGAGTGGGAGAGGGAGAAGCAGACTTCCCGCAGAGCAGGGAGCCCGACGTGGGGCTCGATCCCAGGATCCTGGGACCATGACCTGAGCCGAAGGCAGACGCTTAACGACTGAGCCACCCAGGCGCCCAACACGTGGTTCTTATAGAGGGAATTTTATCTGTAATAAATCTACCAAAAGGCCATGGTGCTTACAAAGGAGAGAGAGAATAGAGTATTAAGAAATTCGTGTTGTGCAAGGAAGCCATTAACAGGGCCCCGGAATTCCTGTTTGGCTCTGTGTTTTCCTGAGGCATTTTATGTACTTGTAAGATCAGACCTAGGTGCTTTCCCAGAACGTGCATCTCCCAGCAGAGAGGTGGGTCGATTATCAGCAGCTGAAGCGTGAGACCATCTGTGAGACCGGATGTAGATTCTCTCCAGAATCCATTTTCATGGTGGACCTCCAAGAATTTCCTGGCAAGAAAGACTCAGACCTGTAGGGGGAGCTGATGGCCTATGTCCATTCTGGAAAGCCTTGAAAAACTGAGGTCCAGAAATTTAACTATTCCTTCAAGTGGAATGAATTAAAGAGGTCACTGAATTTTAGAAACACCCAAGATGTTCTCCTGTTCCTGCCAGAGTCTGAGAAATTGAAAGAGTCTTTAGACTCAAAATGTCAAGTGGTCAGATTGGGTTGATGCAGCCCATATAATGCAGTATTTTTTGTCAACCCTGGGACCACTTCCTTTTCATGTATGGATTTGGATGTCCCCACAAAATGGCCAAGGTGGTGGCTCTAAGTGATGGTTAAGAATGCCCAAGAAACACACTATTGAAAATTCTGCCTGGAAAAGCCCAAAAAGCTAGCTCTCATCATCACACGGTATCCCCTTTGGGTTTATGGAGAGAACCCCAGAACTTTGCTCCATGCAACTGGAGAGCAAAACAATGTGACCTTCCTGTTCAGAGATATAAAGTTACTGAACAAAATGGAAGTCATACTATTAATAGTTTATTTATGACTGTACCACTAGGTCAGAACTAATTCTCAAATCTTGCATCTAATTTCACAATGGCAACCCCGCTTTCATTAAGCTGGTCCTTCTTGCGATTAAAAAGACTCTGCGTATTTTCAGACTCCAGTCCCTCGGGCCAACCCCTGAAAGTGGAAATAAGTTATATTCCCCATCCAACCCATTCTAGTCAGAAAGAAAGGGGCAACAGCTCATCTTGCTCTCCCCGTGTTGGGTCTTGGAGATGGTGCTCTCTCTCCCCTGCATCAAAGGGCAGGAGGAGATTTTTGCTCAAGGGTGATGGGATTGTGCAGTCCTCCAAAAGCAAGTCTGTACAGTGGGGCTTCATCATTTCCTTTTCAATTTTGTGATTTCCTAGACTTCCTACTCAGGATCTTAAAAACCAACAACACACTCGGTAGAAAACTGCATTGAAAAACTGTTCATCCCTCAGCCCCACGACACATAAAATGTCACTCGATCTGACATGTCCTCAGTTCCAGGCAAGCTGTGGCCACAGACTAAGGACATACCTCAAAGGTAATGACTCTGCACCCCCACCTGCCCAAATTGCAGAAAACCCAAGCTCCTTCCCTTGACTCCTTCAAGTTCCGTATTTCCCTAATATTTTCTTACATAATTTACAACTCTGAGAGGATGCACCTTGCAAGTAACGCCAAAAATGAAAGCACATGGTTGGAATATCCGGGCCCAGGTGGTGGCTACTAATGGCCTGATGGTCTTCACCTGCCTGTGTGCACGTTCAGTCCTTCCCGGGACGTATTCCCGCAGCCCGTCATCTGCAGCTGAGTTCTCTGTGTTGATGCCATCCCACATTGCAGAGTCTTCAGTGTGGATCCCAAACTCTCATCGAAAGTGTCTTTGGGGGGCGCCTGGGTGGCTCAGTCGGTTAAGCGACTGCCTTTGGCTCAGGTCATGATCCTGGAGTCCCGGGATTGAGTCCCGCATGGGGCTCCCTGCTCAGCGGGGGGTCTGCTTCTCCCTCTGACCCTCTTCCCTCTCATGCTCTCTGTCTCTCATTCTCTCTCTCTCGCAAATAAATAAAATCTTAAAAAAAAAAAAAGTGTCTTTGGGGCGAAAAACCATAAGCGACTCTTAATCTCAGGAAACAAACTGAGGGTTGCTGGAGGGGAGGGGGCTGGGGGCGCCGGGGTCACTGGGGGACGGGCATTAAGGAGGGCACGTGATGTGATGAGCACTGGGTGTTATATAAGACTGATGAATCACTGAACTCTACCTCTGAAACTAATAATACACTATATGTTAATTAATTGAATTTAAATTTAAAAAAATGTCTTTGGAATGTTACACTGCCCTGCAGTGTGGAGACAGAAACTATTTATATGCCAAAGATTACCTGTCATATACCAATGCAGTAAAATGCAACCGAAATCACTGAATGTCTGGATGTTTTTTGTTTTTGTTTTTGTTTTTAGCTAACCTTGCTTAGCTTAGGAAGATAACTTTTTCTCAGATTCTAAACAACCATCTATCATAAGCTTCTGCTGATTTCCAAGAAAATTGTTTTAATTCCAATAATAGGTCATTCCATTGAAAGGAAAAATTAAACTAGTTTAACCTAAGAGGAAAAGCAGATATATAATCTCGATACACTGGTCAGTTCTGAAGGTTGTCATCAAGTTTAGGTTATGAAGGTCACATGTTATCTGGGTGCTGTGAATCCCTGCCAACAGCAGTTCATAAAAATCTCCAGAGTCGGGATGTGCTTAAATAAAAACTTCTACTGTACACAGAAAAAGTTGAGATATGCTTAAATAAGATGTTAACTCTACAATAAAAAGGGCAGTAGCATGTAATTAACTATACAGAGAAATGTTTGCTACTATCCATTAAGTTTTCTTAAATTGTGGACATGAGCATATACTGGTTTGGGCCCCACAAAGCTGTGATGAAATCAACAGTGCACGGAGCCTGGGTGGCTCAGTCAGCTGAGCATCCTACTCTTGATTTCAGCTGAGGTCATGATCTCGGGTTCGTGGGATTGAGCCCTGCGTCATGGGGCTCTGGGCTCAACGGGGAGTCTGTGAGATGCTCTCTCTCTACCTCTCCTCTGCTCCTCCCCACCCCTGTGCTCTCTTGCATGCGCTGCCTCTCTCTCTTTCAAATAAATAAATAAATCTTAAAAAAAAAAAAAAAGTCAACAGTGCATTTTACCACCTCCAACACACGAGAATGGAAGAGCCATACTTCCCAGGCCCTGCTTTCTCCCCGAGGATCTCTGGCTTCCCAGACAGGTGAGCAAGGACACTCGAGTGCTGACCCTGAAGAGCACTGCCAACTGTACCTGACTCGTCCCTGCGACCGGGGGACTTCCTGGCCTCTACTGACTGTCCCCAATGCCCATCCTGGTGCCCGCATGTCCATAGCAAGCCAATGAGTTCCAGCCTCAACTGCTGAAGGAGGGGGCCAGCTCTGAAGAATTCACTTGGAGAAAGGTATTCACAGCTAAGTTTTTTAAAAACCACTGGACTATTTTATCTCTAATGTCATTTTGCTTCGAATGTTTTCTGCTTCACCAACTCCATGCTGCTTTTCATTTGAATTGAAATGTCATTATTTCCTTTACTTCCCTTCAAGGAGCTGAATCAGAGGGTAAAAGGCTCAACCAGGAAAAGGGTGAGCCTAGCTCTTGTCCAGTTGTTCTCCACTGAGGTTAAAAATAAAGAAAAGAAAAAAAAAAAAGAGGTTTGAGCTCTATCCGAGGCCTTTTACATCAGAATCTCTGGGGGAAAGCCAGGCACAGGTATTTTTTTAAAAAGCCCTCTGGGTGATTCTAATATGAATCCATGCTGAGAACCACTGATTTAGTGGGAAAAAAACATTAGGTGGACTCAGGGACCCTGAGATTCTAGACTCTGCTGTGTCACTCTCCTGGGCAAGACACTTAGTTCTTTGGGCCCAATTTCCATTTCTGCAAAATAAAGGGTATGGGCTGGAGACTCACTCATCCTTTGAACTGACGCTCATGCTGAGGGCAAGTCTCTGTCGCTGCATATGTGGATATTTCAGTATAGTGCTGATTCAACTGCACTTTAGACTAGAACTACCAAAGTAGATTACAACCAAAAAAAATGGCCTCTTATTGCCGATTGTATCGACCTTTCCCAGACATTCTTCTCTGCAGCTTTGATACAGAGGGTCCCGTCTTCTGGATCCCTCCTCCCGAAAGGATCTAGGACATTGTATTCACTAGCAGGAATGAGCCAAGCTGGTTGTTTTGTTTTGTTTTAAAGATTTTATTTATTTATTTGAGGAGGGAGGCGGAGCAGAAGGAGAGGAATAAGCAGACTCTGTGCTAAGCGCAGAGCCCAACATAGGGCTTCATCCCACCACCCTGAGATCATGACCTGAGCCAAAATCAAGAGTCAACTCTTCACCAGCTGAGCACCCAGGCACCCCAGGAACGAGCCAAGTTGTAGGTAAAGGATCAAAGGACCCCTGACCAGAGGTGAGGAATGGAGATGGACAGGGACAGAGGAGTGGACCAGAGAGAAGAAGGTCTGGCATAACTGGTGGTGGGGGGCAAGCGTGGGGCTAGATTCCCAGCATCCCGCAGATTTTCAGCAGTGTTACTGCATGTACTGCCGACAGACAACATGGACGTGTAAGGAGGACAGGCTGTTTTGGCTGTGAATGTGATACAGTTAGCATTTGGGATCTGCTGAGTTTGAGGCATCAAAGTTTACGTAACTGCATCCTGAAGGACATGACCCTGGAGGACCTCTGGGATTCTTTCAGCCCTTTCGCTCGTGCCAAAAGCGAACTCTATGGTGTTCTATGCTGCTATTTGATGACAACGGAAAACTAGGGGCGCGCTTGGGGAGGGGTCTCTCAGGCTGATGGAATGTACTCTGTCATCCTCCTCTTGTTCTTTTGCCCTTCGTAGCAATTCCTTCACACTCATCCGTTCTTCGTGTCTTCATCCCCTCTCCTTCAGTTCCCAAAACCCTGTATCTGGAATCTTGCTTGGCATTCATTTCCCACTTTGTATTTTGTCACCAGTGGATGTTAATGAATGAATGGAATGAGGAAGTATGAGGAAGGCGGCCGGGGACAAGCACCCTCAGCAGGGGGAGGTCTGGCAGTGAGGAAGTAATCAGATCACCTCGCTGCTGCAGGAAAACTGAAAGAAACACAAAGCAGACAGATGGCTTAGTCAGCGTAGGGGCAGTAAGAATAGCTGCCTTTTTTGTGCATCGCTGATAATACTAACGATAGGGGCGCGTTCTATTTGTCCAAGTATGCTCCTAAAAGCTTTTTGTATATTATGTATGTACACAATCTCGTTCCCAGGAGGGGAGAATTATTATTTCCACCCTATGTAAGAGGAAAATGGCTGAGAGTTTAGGTCACTTCTATAAGATTGCACAGCTGGTGGGTGGCACAGCGGGGATTCAAAGCTGGGACAAGCCCGATTAAGAGCCCTGACTGTCCGCTATGCTGTTCTGCTGCATCGCTGTACGTTGCAGAATGTGACATTCCCACTAGTGACCCCGAGTCATGCTCTCATTGCCTTGTCTGAGAAGGTGCCAGGATGTGCGCTACCATTTGGAAAACGTCCTCCCCAAAGGGTGACAATTCAAATGTTTTCGTTCTCAACGGGTTGATCTTCAATTACCTGGAAAATGCACTCATATGGAGGTCGTATCCCCTATCAGTTAAACAAATGAGGAATTACAGTAGTTTTCTTGACATCAGACCACCAGAAATGCGCACAATGCCAGGTGCAAATGCAAGGGAGAAGGACAATATATTCGGGTTTGCTTCCAAAACCCTAAGAAATCATGTCCCAATTGGCTTAGCCTTTTGAGCCATAAAACCACTTTAGCCTATTGGATTCAGAGAACAGTCTATAATGACTCTATCCAAAGTCCCTCTCCTGGGTCCCTGTCAAAAGTTGAGTCGCTGATTTTTTTTATATTTAGAAATTGAATGATGCCCCCCATAAAAGTCTTTCCTGTTCACTGCCCCCCACTACTGTTAGGCTATGGATCAACCCAGAAACAAAATGTCCTGACAGCATCAGATCCATCTCCTATGGCCTTGCGCCTCCCAGCACGATGTCACTAAAATACCTGACAGTAAAAATTTGTCAATTCAGAGAGGGAGCTCAGGCTTTCAAATATACTGCTCAGTGGCTTTCCCTTTCTCTCCCTTGACTTGACCATCAGGATAGCAAGAGTCAAGGTAATTCACTAAACTTTCCCGCTGTCTTTTACTTTTGTCCTGAGCCAAGAAAGTAGTAAAAGAGGTTACAGACGCAAGTTTGGAGTTCGAAGGAGTGTCTTGCAGCTTGGCACTGTCCCTTCCCCTCTGAGCAAGTCACCTTGCTTATTTGAGCCGCATCTGTAGAGCGGGCTTATAAGGCCTTCCTGCCAAGCCCTTCCTTTGTTGTTATTTTCTTCACTCGTACTTGTTGTTCAAGTACAACCTTGCCCTGTCAGAAGCCAACAGGGGTACCTACACTCGAAGAGGAAGCTTTTAGTGTTGTAATCTTACATCATGAGTTCTCAGTAAATTCTTCTAATTATGAAGGGGGCACACCTGGGCGGGCTCACAGGAGACCTGAGGGTCCAGCAATGTGCATCATTGGCCCCAGCACAGCCATCAGGACGGGGACCCGTGGTTTAAGTGGCATGAATGATGGAGCATAAGTTGGCTTCGGGTTTTGGTCAGTGTGGTGGGTTGAGTGGTGTCCCCCCCAATTCGTGCCAGTTGGACCCTCAGAATGAGAGCTTATTTGGAAAGAGGGTCTTTATAGAGATAATTAGTTAAGTATCTCAAGATGAAATTATCCTGGATTTCAGGCGGGCTCTAAATCCAATGACTGGTGCCCTTAGAAGAAGAGGAGAGGACAGAAAGATGGCAGGAAGAAGGCCATGTGAAGGCAGAAGCAGAGACCGGAGTAAAACTACCACAACAGGTGTTATCAGGGCCGCCGGAAGCTGGAGGAGGCAAGGAAGGATCCTCCCCTAGAGCCTTCTGAGGGAGTATGACGCTGGCGACATCTTGATTTTGGACTTCCAGCTTCTAGACTGCGAGAGAATTAAATTGTTGTTGTTTTAAGCTTCCCAGTTTGTGATAATTTGTTATGACAGCCCTAGAAAACTAATACAGTCTTTGATTTGTCACTGGAACATTCTCCGTTCTGTCTTACATTTGCTATAAAATTTGACCCCCAGCCCTCCGAACAGCAAATGCTAATATAATGAATGAACTCTGGTACCTGGGAAGGGTTACAGGGAACATCCTATCGCACCCACACAAACACTGCCTACCACATTAAGAGGAAATTCCTTAGTGTGTCCTTCACTACTCATCATGACCTGAGCCAGCCCAGTTTTCCAGGGTCAGCTTAGTTGGAACAGGGCTCACCCTTCAGCCACATGCAACATTTCAGCCGCTGGAAACATCCCTGTCCTCTCCCACCTCGCCGGTCCCAGTCCTACTCATCTCCCAAGTTTTAGGTTATTATATGCCCCCCCTCACGAAGTACATCCTAATTCATCCTATATTAGTTGAGGATCTTTTAACTGGAAGTTCAAAACCACCCAACTCAAACTGACGTTAACAATGGGAGGAATTTATCGCCTCCTGTGACTGAAAAATCAAGAATAAAAATGGTGTTAGGTAAACAATATTCTGGTGATTCAGGGACTGGTTTATTTTTGTCTCTTCCTTCACCTTCTGCAGTCAACCCCGTCTGAAAGCTGACTCACCTCACGGGTACAAAACAGCTTTCAGCAGCACCTGGGAACTTCTTCGTTCAAATCCAACAAAAAGAGGGGAGTCTTTCTAGTCGCTTTCCCAGCAAGTCTTGATCTTCTCTCTGATTGGTCCAGCTTAGAGAGCACATGAACTGTGCCCAGGGGGATGGAGAACTCTGATTGGCCCAGCCAGGTCGTGTTCCACATCAGCCATACTCGCCGGGAACCGTGTGTCTTCCTAAAGGGAGCAGAAGGAATGGTTGCTGGGAGACGTCCCCTGCTCATTGCATTCACTCCCTCTTCTCTGTGCCCAGTATCCTTGCCCACGGTTCCGTGAAGGCACCGATCATCCTTTGAATGTATTTTATTCCAGTATCTGTACCTCCCCAGAAAATTCCTTGGGACTAGAGACTGTGCCCTTCCTTATATGCAGGTCTCAAGTTAGCCGTTCGCACGGTTGGAGCGCAATCAAGTTTTGTGGAAGTCAATTATATTTTTACAAAGGAAATAAAGCAGAAGTTGTTTTCATACTTCCAAATTCCCAAAGGATCCTGTTTCGTTGTTTTCTGCACATTGATTAATCCTTCTCCAGTAAGTAAGGCTAATCGCAGGCCATGCCACAGGTTCTCACGTGCTGTAATCTGATACATTTAGAGCATTTTAGTCATCTAGAAATGAAGTCAAATGTCCACTGCATTTTTTGTGTGTGAATGTGTGGATAGTTATAAATAGACATGGAAAAACACCCAGGCTGGGTGAACTCAGTTGGCGGGGGCCCTGGATTTGGACCCCCAAATATAGCCTGCTAACAATTTGTCACAGGCACTTTTTTTTTCCCACATAGTTCATCATTTCAAATATTCTGAGCAACCATCCTGAATATTTACTCAAGAGTACATTTTTTCCACTTTGTCTTTTAGCCAAATGTGTGGCTTTTTCTTTAAAAAGAGATGAGAACCTCAGGCACAGATAAATATATCCCCTGGCACTTGGCTATAATACAATTCTCTATAGGCAATTCTGTCGCATGTCTGTGGGATTGGTTTAAATCTGGAAGCCTCCGGAAGGCCTCCGTCTCACACTCCTTCCCCCATAGCTGCTTCTGAGGAGAAGGCCCAGGGAGCGGGCCACGGACACTGTTTTCCACTAAATAGAGCCAGAGAAAGGGATGCTCAGTGAGGAGTCTCTTGACAGACATGAGCTCGGGAAGCCTTCCCCTCTGAGCTGTCTGGTGACAGGGACAGCACGTAGCCACGCCTGCTGCAGCCCCCGCCTTTTCCCAGTCTTGTCACACTGCTATGACGCCCACGTTTCTCTCCCTTCCTGTCCCTCTCCCACCCCACCCCCTGCAGCTTTCCAAGCCCAGCCTCATTGCCGGATTTGACACATCTGATTACAGTTGACCCAGGCATTTCCCAGTGTAACTTTGGTCCATGTCCAACAGTTCAACTGGATCACAGCGTTGGAGATCAGAACAGACTTTCCCATGGGCACCATGTAATTAATGACGCTTCGATTCCCAGGCTAGACCCTAGACGCCCATGTAACCCACATGTGCTAGGGATGTCCTGGCTGAGAGTTTGGGGTCAAATTTTGAGAAGTAGACCTGATGGGATCTTCATTCGCTCTTTGTCCTTGGCCCCGCCCTTTTCTTTCTGTCTCAGATGCAAATGGGGTGGCTACCTAGAGGTGAGCTGCCATCAGAACACCAAATAATAATATATATATATATACATATATATATATATTTTTTTTTTATTTGAGAGAGACAGTGCACATGCAGAGGGGGAGGGGCAGAGGGAGAGGAAAAAGCAGACTCCCCAGTGAGCAGGAAGCCTGAGGCCTGGCTCTATTCCCGGACTCCAGGATCATGACCTGAGCCAAAGGCAGATGCTTAACCGACTGAGCCACCTAGGCGCCCCAAGAACACCTTTTGAGTAGCTGTAACAGTCCAGGGCTACCTGCCCCTAGATCTTTTTACAAGTAGAAAAAGGAGAAAGAAAAAAATAAACCTCTTTGAATCAATCCACTCTCGGCAGGTTTCTGCTTAATGCAGCAGAACACAGTCCTAAACTGCTTCGTGATCGTTCTCTCTATAGTTCCAGAGGTATTGACTTCTGATTCTAAACAACTTGGGTCTGAGATCTCTTGATCACACGGAGGCCACCATTGGCCTTGTTGATCCTGGTGTCCCTGCCTGGTCAGGCCGAGTAAAGGGGACGAGCTTTGTAGAAAAGGACAGTGAAAACACCGGATGGAGAAGAGCTTGGAGGGAAGGGCGGGAGAAGCCAAGGAACATGCTCTTGTTTTGAAATGGGCACAGGACATGGAGAGCATCCCCAGCAGGCCTGGCACTCAGCTCTGGGGCCCTCGCAGCCCACCTGGCCGTGAAGACGCCGCCGGCAATTCTCTTTCTGACGGAGGGAGCTCGGAGCAGTCTGAATTCCCGCCGGCTCTCACTGCATCCTGCCTGGCCCGCTCTGCTCCCACGGGAGGGACCCTGGTGCCCATGGGGCTTCAGCGAGGGTAGGGGCCGGACTAGCTCCCAGCGAACACAGCCGGGGGAGGCGAGGGCGGGGGACGGAGCTCAGAGGGGGCACCGAGCCCTGGGCCCACTGCGGTCATTCATCAACATGGTGGCAGTGGCTCTGAGAGTGGTGGCTGGATCTGGTCACAAAGTGTCACCTTTCCACAGGCACAGGACTTCACAACAAAGGACAGCAGCTTTGCCGGCACCCAAGACGGAGTCACTGCTTTGGTGCTGGAGAGAAGAGATGGGCCGGGGGAGAGCTACGGGCAGGAAACTTACTACTACTATCGGTTTTTTTTTATTAGTCTTTTAAAGATTTATTTTATTTATTGGAGAGAGAGAGAGTTGGGAGGGGCAGAGGGAGAGAATCTCAAGCAGACTCCCCACTGAGCACAGAGCCTGACTCGGGGGTCGATCCCACAGCCCCTGAGATCATGGCCTGAGCCGAAACCAAGAGTCGGACACTGCACCAACTGAGCCACCCAGGCGACCCCCCTATTATCACTTTTAATCATTCTGTTAATAGTTACTATTTACCTTTCCCTGAGTATTTTCACCTATATTCTCATTTCTCATAATATCCCTTGGAAGGAGGAAAGGCTGGGGTATTATATTCTCATTTAACAGATGAAGGAACCGAGGCTCAGAAAGGATTGCTGACTCCATTGGATCGCACAGGAATACCAGACCTGATTCTCAAACTGAAAGGGATTCTAACAAGAGCAACATTCGGGGCCCCAGCAGGAAACAGCACTCTCTGAAGAGGTGATTCACAGGAGCAAAAGGAAGGGACTATTTACAAAGGTGTGCACAGGGTTGAGGGAAAGCAGAGGGGGAGAGCGAAGCGTCCCAGGGCCAGCAAGAGTGGGGAAGCCCTTTCCACCCACAGGCCTTCGGGGCGAAGAGAAGGAGCACTTACTGGAACTTTGGTGAGAGCCATGCCCCTGGGAGAGGGCCACCAGGCAGGAGCCCTTGCCAAAGCCGGGGAATGAACACCCCCATGTTCTTTCCTCCCATTTTCTGTTGGCGCCTCCCGTGGGCCAAACCCAAATGGAAGCCAGGGGGCAAATACGCCCCGTGTTGTGTTCCAGCCCATGAGGTCAGCTTCCCACAGCCAAGACCCAGTGGAGGAGTACAGAGCAAATCTGGGGGGCGTGGGGGGTGGGTGGAAAACGTCCTGCCATGATCTGCTGTGCCCTAAGTATGTGGCAGAAACTGTACCAGGGGACGTCTATGACAGTCTCATGTCATCCTTGCTCTGATCCTGTGTGCTGGATATGAAACCTCCGGTCACCCATTCATGTGCATAAAGTCAAAATTTTGTCTTTCTCTAATCCAGTTTCTATGTGGAACTTCCGTTCTTCTGATGGGTGGCAGAAACCTTATTTCGAGGAGTTCGTGGTGTCTCCAGCCAGTTCGGGACCCCAGCACAGTCTAGCCCCTGAGACACCTTCCCCAGGGGCTCTGTGTCCATCCACGTGACTCCCAGAGGGCCCAGCCAATAATTGCTGCCCTCCCTGCTTCCCCACGGACTTGTCGCAAGGCACCCTTGTTCCCATCCGGTCTCTTGTAATTCGGTCAGCTGCACAAGGGCCTGTCCCAGCTATGAGATTTCTCTAGGTCCTATTCTCGTTCACCCCTTCTGGAAAGAGCTTCTGGAAAGCTCTGAAACATTTGGCTGTTGTCCTGTGGTTCTGCTGGTGGTGGTGGGGTCCCTAGGGGCTGTCTCCGTCCTGCCAGCATGCAGCTTTCTCTATTCTACCTCTGTCACCTGGACCTGTGGAGAAACCCTCGGAGACTCGCCACCTCAGGGCTCATCTCTGGAAGCAAGGCTACCGTCCTCTTTGGAGCCAAATCCCCAAATGGATCTGGAGTTTCTGTTGTGCCCCTTTCCCCTAGGGGTCTGGTCTAGGATCCTTTTCTTGGAATCACATGGCAGTATCCACCCAACCTTCTTGCTTTTCCTTCTCTCCTCCCTTCGGCTGACGTCCTCCTTCTCCACCACTGGCTCCAGGCTATGGGATTTTTAAGCAACAAATACTTCAAGGTGCTGGAAAATGGCTCTGTGTAACCAGGTATGTTTCTGTTTCCAACTATACAGGCATAAACTTTATCCTCTAAATCGTTCAAGGATTAGGACTTTGAAGCTCAAAAGCCAAGATTTTGGCCACCCCAAAGCCTTTTCTCTTAAAAAAAAATTTTTTTTATCTCTACCATGGCCATAATTAAAAACTCAAAACCAAGAATTGTCATCTTGGCTGTCTGCCTTCGCCTGTGGCATCTCGTCCCTGGGGCAGGAAGCCTTGGCTGCCATCTTGAAAAAGAAGAACCTCAAGTTACCAGGACTTTCCAGAATGGAAATGATAGTAGTTAGGCAGGGATGGATTTACCATGAAGCTAATGAGGTTTACTCTTCAGGGTCCCTTGCTTTCAAGGACCCCTTCCAAGACTTTGGTAGGGACTCAAGTCATGGTTTCATGGATTCATGTGTTTTTATAAAACATGCAAATTTTAAAATGTTTTAAAACTTCTGTCAGTTAAGACCACTGTGCCCTTCTGCTCAGACTTCCTTTCCACCACATTCTATCCACTTTGGGTGGTGCTCTCCCAGCTGTGGATGTTTGGGAGCTTTAGCCAAGGAGAAGTTGTGCTGCATCCACACAGTGACATCCTTTGTCCAGGGCAAGAGCAGTGTAACCTGGCACTTTTGGGGGGTCCCACTGGCTTCATTCCTACCCTAAGGGTAAGGAGTCTACAGGGCCAAAGAGACAAGTGCACCCGGAGCTTCAGCCTCTTCTAGACTCCACTCCAGGTGTGGCAACCATGGAGGTCGCCTCTCAGAAGTCCCTTCATGAAGAGCATGCCAGTCTGCTGCGGGGAGTCCAGTTACTGAGATCCCCTCGCCATCGAGCCTTCAGAATCTGTCTGTGTTTGAGCCAAGGCCATGCTCCTCCTGGGCAGCCTTCAGCTAATGAAGAAGCATGCCAGGGTCTTAGCAGCTGGACACTGCCGCCCAGTGGGGTCTTCTAATGGGCCATCCTCATGCCACAGCTTCCGATAGGGTCAGATAAGACTTCAGGTAGGCATTTCAGTCTGTGTCTCTATCTGCCTATTCCCCTTCCCTGTGTCCTTCTGCAGGTTTCAGATTTGCACTGTGGGGTGGAGTCTTTCCCTGCCCATTCCTGCTTCCTCCCCTTGTAGTTTCTACAGGAATTACCTTCAATAAACCTCCAGTACTCCCAACTCCACGCCAGCGGCTGCTTACCCGAGGACCAACCTGACATGGTGGTACTGAGAATGGCCCAGGAAAGCAGGCAAGAAGATGTGGCCTGGGGACCTGATCAGTGATCGATGTGGGGGGGGGGGGTGTTCCATCCCAGACGGTACATACACAGAACACAGAGGGTCCCTACAGCAAGGGGGCAACCCAATAGCTATAATTTTCACTGACGTTCACTTGGGAGAATGTTCTGATGTTGGGGAAGCCCAAGCTGCAATGCTTTGGGCTGTGAAACAGCGGTGGGGCGTGCAGGTAGAGGGGTACAGAACCT